CTTGCTCTCTTGCCCAGGCTGGAGTGCAGTAGTACAATCATAGCTTATTGTGATCCTGAACTCCTGGACTCAAGTGATCCTCCTGTCTCAGTCTTTTGAGACTCTGAGATTACAGGTATGAACAACTGGCAACTCATATTTAAAAAATGTGTATTATTTGTTCTCATTTACACTTTATTTGTTATTCTCCTCAGGGCAACTATTAGGGAATAAAGTTTATGTCTACATTTAGTTTGTGGCTCTACCCATCATTCACTGTAAACTTGGGCTGCTTCATCTAAAAAATTAAGATAATACTTATCTGATAGGATGTTGTGAGGAAATGAGGCTGTACATATAAAGCAGCTAGTAAAATATTTGCTGCCAGTAAGTGATCAACCAGTGGTGGATGGTATTACTCTTTATTCAAAAGGGAGAGAGAGTTGAGGGAAAAGGGTAGAAAAAGGTGAGCCTGATGGTTTACTTGAGACTTGGAGGGCTGGGCATGGTGGCCCATGCCTGTAATTCCAGCACTTTGGGAGGCTGAGGCAGGCGGATTGCTTGAGCCCAGGAGTTCGAGACCAGCCTGGACAACATGATGAGACTCCATCACTACAACAATATAAAAAATTAGCTGGGCATGGTGGCACCTTTCGTCTCAGCTACTCAGCAGGCTGAGGTGGAAAGATCACCTGAGTCAGGGAAGTAGAGGCTGCAGTGAGCCATGATGGTGCTACTGTACTCTAGGCTGGGTGACAGGAGTAAGACCATGTCTCAAAAAAAAAAAAAGAGAGAGAGAGAGAGAGAGAGACTTACAGGTAGCCAGGGAAGACATCATAGGCAGAGGTGAGTGAGAGTTAGAGTTGAAAGGACAAGAAGGGCATTTTGAATGTTACAGATGATGCTGAAATGTTGGGAGGTATAGGGTAAGGATGGGCTATGTTAGCTACGTTATGAACAATTATTTGGAGGTTCTTATTACACGGCATATGTTATGTTTCCAAATTTAAGTTATAAACTAAATTATCATCTTTACTAGAATGGATTTTTAGTAGTTAATAAAATTAGTATTCTCAGGATTTCAGGTAATAGTGACAGAAAAGGAATTCAGAGAGAGGAGTTGAGAACAGAGGTGGCTTCTTGCTACAATGTTCTTCTCTGTCCCTACTATACCCCACCCACAACTCTGTTAGGGACATATTGTTTCGTACACAAAGTTACAGCATGGCGGCAAATTATAAGGCTGGACAGTGGAACAGAACTGGCAGAATAGAAGGATGGTGGATGATCAAAAGAGCGAAGCAGTGAGTTCATTCCTGGATATTACCCATGGGAAAATGGGATATGGGAAAGGCTGGCCAAAAGAAGTGGGGATTGATCTTTGGAAGTATGATGAGGACAGTGAGTCAGAGTTACTCACTTTATCAGAGCAGGAGACCATGTGGGTTACAGCTATCAGAGCTTAGTGTGGGTAAATCCAATAAAGAGCTCTGTTGCTAAAATTGAACAATTACAGTGTTTTTAAAATTTCCAGGAAAAATGGGTTTAAAGGTTTTCATTTTGTGAATTATTATTAAGTTTTCGGTACTTCCTACCTTGTAAAAATTTGCAAATAAATTTAAAGAGAAAAATGCAGACGTATTATTTCTTAAAAACACTTTTTTTTTTTTTTTTTTTTTTTTTTTTTTTTT